TACTAAAGTTGTACTACAAAGTCGCCAGTGCTCGCCTGCATTTCGCGCGCTCGACACGCACGATCTCCGCAGAGGGTTGCGCGGGCACCGGACAAATCGCACTCTCACCTGCATTTCGCGCACTCGACACGCACGATCTCCGCAGAGGGTTGCACGCGCATGGAACACATCGCACTCTCGCCTGCATTTCGCGCACTCGACACGCACGATCTCCGCAGAGGGTTGCGCGCGCATGGGACAAATCGCACTCTCGCCTGCATTTCGCACACTCGACACGCACGATCTTTGCAGAGGGTTGCGCGTCAAGTCTCCAAAACGAGCGTTTCGTACGAGACTTCCTCAAAAACTCACACGTCAAAGTCTGCAAAACGAGCGTTTCGTACGAGACTTCCTCCAAAAGTCAAGCGGAAACACCCATCGGAGCACACACATCACGCAGCCCTGCCAAGCAGTTTCGCGATTCCAGCCCCTCCAAACAACATCCGCTCACACGCCAATCCCAATGTGACAGCGACATTCACCTCTACCACAACTCACAACCTCACGATTCCCTGCGCCTGCCACGAATCTTTCCCCATCCACACGTCTAACGCGCACAAAGTACTACGCCTGCCACGAAATGTCACCTCCCTCACACCTCGCAACCTCACGATTCCCTGCGCCTGCCACGAGAATCGCACTTCCACGCTTCAAAGCCCGCACGAAGTCCTGCGCCTGCCACGAAAAGTGACAATATCATACAATATCATCGCATGTGAGCTTCAACAAAGTTTGCACCACACCACACGTTTGGAATGATTTCGACCCGTTCAGAGCACACTCCCATCCACCAAAATCGCCACTTCAGCTGGGACTTGTCACGAAAACCGAGCTTCGATGCCACACCCTGAAACGCAAATCCCAATGGCACGGCCACATCCAACACCCCAAAAACGCGACTCTCCAAACGCTAATCCTAATGGCACTGCGCAGCAAACTGCGGATCTCACAAAACGCTGCGCCTGTGCAGCGAAATGCATCACGTTTCTTGCGCGACATGTCGGTGTCATGCAAATCACAATGGAATTGCGGCGCAAACTGACACGTGACACATCCATGAAAAGTCACTTGCAAAAGCTTACCCCAATGGCAGCAAATTTGAGACGCGACGACGACGACAAACGACGAGAGACGACGACACGACGCAAGCCATGCAAACACAGCTCCAACCCCCAGACCCCCAACTATAAACGGGAATCCTTCGCTACGCATTCGGGAATAAAGGATCTCCACATCTTTTGGACCACCGGCCGCCAGACCAAGACCTGGCACGCGTGGTTGACCCCCAACCCAGGTGTCAGATCCATCCTCACCACTGAAAAAAAAAATACCTGAAGACACCTTCGATACAAAAAAAAGCGCTCAAAAGAAAAAGCGCTACTAATCCATGAAAAGCGCTCAAAACCTGAAAAAACGCTCATGACAAAAAAAGTGTACATATCTTGTTTCAATCTGTTGTTTCAACCTATTCCTTCTCACAACCCACCCCTCCGAGCGCACGAACACACACACAGACACTACAACCGCGGTGGACAAGACAGCCCTGCAGCCTTTTCTTGCCAAGCCCTCAGCGGAAGTCAAAGTGGTCACGCCACTGCCGAAGGTAAGTGATAAGACACGTCTGTATCGTTCGAACGGGAGCAGTTCTGGCATGTTGTCGCCTTGAGGTGCGTGCCACCTTGCCTATGAAGTCCTCATCCCCCCATGTCATCCAGACACAAGGATTGAGTGAATATCCAGCGGATTGAAGCTGGTGAGACATCGTCAGCCTGAGAAGTAGACATATACATCTAACATATCTTACAAAGACCTGAGAGTAATTGCAACCACGTGGCACGACATGCCCATGCATGTGGCACTTAGGCCGGAGACGGAACAAGGTCAACGATTGCGCTGCCGACATACTGGCCAGGGCCCCATAGGCTTCCTGACAACAATCAGTTCCATGCTCATGGAACCTAGGAAAGGCCTCTTCCACAGGAAAAGCATATGATTGAGGCAAGACTCCAACATAGTCCAGCCAGCACGCACTGCAGCTTCAGAAGTTTCTTTATTCAAGAAGAGGCCATATAGAATCCGCCAGAAGTTGCAGCTAGCTCGGTTCATGGTTTTCACGACCGTGAGAATTTCAGCCATGCCAGCTTCCTCAGGAAAGACCACTTTAAATCGATCTGGGGATTCACATGTTTATGTGTATTTGTAACAGTACAAGCCAAATGTCCAATGAATCCGTCGATGCCGAGGCCAATTCAGTTTCAAGCCATGAGCCCAGAACACCCGTGTCGTGACCTTTACCACCTCCTCGGGGATATCGGCTGGTCCTCAGTTTGGATGTTTTCTTATTTGAGGCCTTTCATTCATGTTGATACATCTAAGTTCCTCCAAGAAACCCTGAAATTTTGAATTCCTTGTTGGAAAAGCTGGTGATGGAGGTATGCTTCTTCTGTGCTTTGCACCAGATCGCAAACCTTTCGAAGGCTCGGTCAAACTTGACCTGGATGTTGCCACGGTGGCCAAAATGCCCACAATTTACTAACATCAGCAGGATGCTAGCAGTCTCATCCTTGCCATATCCAATGGCGTATGTGTGCGTGGGGTCTGTACGTAATCGATCAGGAAGCGAGCCCCCAGGAAGCTCAAAAAGTGGAAGGTGATCACTGTCCTTATACGGAGATGGATTCTCAAAACCTGGCTCCAAGCTTCTAAGAGGACCTGTCGAGGAAAAGTTCCACCATTCCTTGGTTGTATGCATAAAAGTACTGCGTGCGTGCGTGAATTCCAGATGTGAACCTTAACAAAGGGGGAAATTAATGCTATATACCATTGCAAGGATCCTCCACAGCGCAAAGGTGACATTTTCTAGGTAAGGTGGCTTGGAAACCACTCTTCAATTTGGCCACCTTTCTGATATAGGGCCAGTCACCCTTCAGGCCCACGTATATGGGCCTGAATTTCACGGTCGAGCCATCAGCTTTCATCACCTGGGCCAGCGACATGGGACCCACTAAATTTTTTGGGGAGAGATGTAAGTAGACGCATGATGCATCTAAAACACATAGCTTTGTTCTCAGCAAAGGTACTTGGAAGCCATGCTGGTAAAGGCTGTTGAAATCTGAATTCATGGCATCAACTAGGGTGTCAATTGTGGCATCATTCTTGGCGTACATTGACGATGGAATCGCACAATATAGGAGGCGGCTGGCATAGGTGACCCTGGCAGGGAAAACCTACTGGTTTGACATCCTTGTACAAGTCCCAATTTGTATGATTAACAAGATAGAAACCGGAAAACCTTGAGGGGGGGCATGAGACATGCATTTCAACACGCCTGACCCTTTCAAATTGGTTTGACCCTCAAAGTTGGTAAGTTGGTGATGATAGGTTGGTAGCTGAAAATCATCACAGGGCGCTTATAGCGCCCCCCTGCCCTCATCCCCATGAATAGCAACCGGTAGGCACTGTGCCCAAGTTGACTCATCGAAGTCGGAGTACAAAGGCAGGTCAGGGTCCAGTGGCTTGTAAGCCACCCACCAATCATGGAGAATCTCACAGAAGGCATCTACTTGCTCAATCCCCTTTCCTCCAAGAAAAAATGACCGCCCAGGTCAAAGGAGGCCCTCATCCAAGACGACAACGGAAGAGTTGGAAACTCAACTTCTGTCTCCGTCACTTTTGACTTGGAGATGACACGGATGGGAGTCGGGACCCAATCAATCTCCACTGGTAAAATTTTTTCCAGTGTTCTTGGCACACCGGTGGAATTTCCGACAAGAGTTCGATGCATTCTTCTTTGTGGCCATCATCGATAGCATCCGGCCACCCGCATTACCTGAGTCAGCACACCCGGCCTATATACAGTAGCGTTTTGTTTCATGCATGCTGCAAAATTTGTTAATCTAAAGCACCATGTTTTTGAAGCTTGTGATGAACAACTCCAGCCATATGAGTAGCCTTGCATGCCGGGATAGAACCTTGCTCCACTGCCTCCATAAATGCTCCGGCTATATCTTCATCTGAGCCTTGGCAAACGTAGACAGACTGCAAACATGTTTTCGTGTTGTCTGCTTCGGAGCATTCTTATCATCTAGATTTGTTCCAAACCGTGTCAGTTATTTAAGCGAGAAA